TGCTGGCTTGTGTAGCAGGTCTCCTCATACGTCTGGCCCAGAGCATTCAAAGAATAGACCAGCGTGACTGTCTTTTACACAGAAGTGTGGTCAAGACCATTGAAGAGCCACACAGAAAAATCCTCCTGTTAAAAGTACTTATCAGTGTTCATGTGTGTCCACACTACAGAGTGTTAAAGAAACACTGTTGGAATGCATTAGTTTTGTACTATGATGGCACCCAGCATGCACCGCAGCATGAAGCTTTTCATTGATTGTCACCATTGCTGAGATCAGTGATGGGAAAACAAAAGCTTTTCAAAACTTAAAAGCAATTGCTTTATGAAATGAGTCACTGTTTTGAAATGGCATGTTCTGGTGACACCTGCTGTTTGAAATGTTGTAACTGCAATAAAAACTCAGCAAAAACATGCATAAAAATGCCTTTCACAAACCAATTGCAAGTGTTTTATTAGAAGTGTTATCTATTAGGTGTGACTAAAAATCATCCAAAACTGTTAAATATGAAGTGTCTGTATGACTGACTTCCAGCCACTGCTTTATATGAAATCAACTGAACTCTACAAACAATATTACCAGCTTCACTCATTTCTAACCAGCTTGACTTTATTTCTGTCATACATTCTCACTAAGAATTAACATTAAATGGGTTTAGAAGTTGATGTTTTTATTGAAAATAATTTAGTTTAGTTTGAAGTCACCATGATGGCGATTATTGTCCGTAGTTGTGCTCTTGACCCTTGGTTTATAATATTAGTTTTTCTCCGGTTGTTAAACAGATCAGCTCTGAACATAACAAAACAACTAAAAAATAAAAGCAAATAAGACTATTCAGCTGCTTAATTTATTCATGCTGCAATGCATGCTGGGAGTCATGGATGAGTTTCGTACTATGGTAGCACCAAGCATGCATTGCAGCACAAAGCTTTTTGTTGATTGTCACCACTGTTTAGATTCTTAAGCTAATTCTTGATGTCTGTGTGTCTAAGTGATTCAGTAGCTCAAAACTTTCTAAACACAAGGTGTTTCTAAATTCATTTAGATCATCATGTTAAATTAATAAAAGATAATCTAAACAGTCCGATATTAAACACTGGATTAGTTTACAGAGTTGGATTACATGATTATAATGATGAATACACAGCCATCATCACCTGATCATATTCTCTCTTGTTGTTTCTTTCCATAACTAATGTGCTTTATAAACCCAAAGGCAGTTAAAGAAAAACTAAGGTTGAAAAGTCAAAGGCCAACTACTAATTACTATTTAGTAGCACTAATCACTAAAGCACTAATCACCCTAATGGTGACTTCAAATGAAACACTTTCATTTTGTAGACATATGAAATTAAATAAAAAATAAAGTCAATATGGTTAGTAATTCGTGAAGCTGATAATGCTGTTTGTGAAGTTGTTAATTATCCTCTGCTGAGATATTGAGAGATTTAATGTCTACTTTTACTTCAGTTGATTTCAGCTGTGGCTGGAAGTCAGCTGTAGTCTTTGTTTTTCTCTTTTTTCTGTTCTTCTTGTTCCTCTTTCAGTGATTCTTGTTAATAGCATGTGTTTGTCACTAATCACTCAATTTATCACTTAACCATCGCATTAACGGTCTTGGTTTTGGAAGTCTGGTCTTGACTACACACCTGATTTCTATGCAACATTTGGTAAATGAGGCTTCAGGTCTCATCTTACAGGATGCTGAATGCAAATAAGATGCACTAAAACAAGGTCTATGAAACCACATGCGATAAGATGATATGATAAAAGTTTCTGTTTGTATTGCTGGTAAGAGAATAAACTGATACTGAGAATTAGAGTAAACAAAATGTAAACATTTAAGATGCTAATATGATAGAAACATCACCGTAAAATATTAGTACAGAAATCATCTCTCTATGATACTACAAGATGCTTTTTTGCAAGAGTTTTAAACTAGGTATTGAGACACATTTAGACACCAACACTCAACAATGGGGACAATCAACAAAATATTCAGATAAACAGATCATCTCTGAACATCATAAAACAAGCTACTGAAAGTCACAACAGAAATAACATAACAAATAAAATCAAATAGTTAGAATTAAAAAAAATAATAGGACAATTCAGATGCGTAATTTATTCATGCCACAATGCTTGGTGGGAGTTTTGTACCATGGTGGGACCCAGCATGCATTGTGGCATGAAGCTTTTTGTTGATGTTCACCATTGTTGAGATTAATATGCTGATTGTTGGTGTCTGTGTGTGTCTAAAGGTTACATTATTTAAAAACTTTAGTGTACATGTTTTTAAACTTTTTCTTAATAATTGTTTGCTGAGTTGGACTAACAACTTAAGCTACAATAGCAGAGGGTTGGTAATTCAAAATTCATATATTAATAGTGCACCACACTAATAATCATTGTATTATATACAGGTGCATCTCAATAAATTAGAATGTCGTGGAAAAGTTAATTTATTTCAGTAATTCAACTCAAATTGTGAAACTCGTGTATTAAATAAATTCAGTGCACACAGACTGAAGTAGTTTAAGTCTTTGGTTCTTTTAATTGTGATGATTTTGGCTCACATTTCACAAAAACCCACCAATTCACTATCTCAACAAATTAGAATACTTCATAAGACCAATAAAAAAAAACATTTTTAGTGAATTGTTGGCCTTCTGGAAAGTATGTTCATTTACTGTACATGTACTCAATACTTGGTAGGGGCTCCTTTTGCATGAATTACTGCATCAGTGCGGCGTGGCATGGAGACAATCAGCCTGTGGCACTGCTGAGGTGGTATGGAAGCC